GTGTGTGTGTGTGTGTGTGTGTGTGTGTGTGTGTGTGTGTGTTATCTCAGTTTAGCTTTAAGTTTAAAGTTTAATATAAAACAAATGCACAGTTAAGTGTTTTCCTCCTTGCCTTTGTTTTTAACTAAGCTTTAAACTTTAAGCTAAACTGAGGCAGCACAAGCAAGCACAGTAGGTCTGCATGTTCCTGGAACAAAATAAAAAGTAAATCCCTTGAAGCTGCACAAAAACTTGTTTTGGTAATTCGATTGTGACATACAGTATATGATTATACAAAAGTAAAAGGGTTTTTTGAGTCATAAATAATGTGACTTATCAATCAACGTGAGATGAAAAAGTTTTTAACCCATCTTAAGGTTTGACCAAAAGTTGTGAAACTATAAGCATCTGAATTATTAAGCTAAGCTGACCTATAAATCCAATATAAAAAGACAGTTTTGCCGGCACTGCTTCCCGAGAAGCTCCACATATAACAGGTGGATGGCTCCACAAATGCCTGGTTTATTGATTATCTGACAGATGGACCGCAGTTTGGGAGGCTGAAGAGTTATATGTCTGAAAAGGGCGGTCAGCAGCACAGGACTACTGCAGGAAGCCATACTTTTATCATTTTCTTCTCTCTGCACACCATGGACATTCAGTCTAACTTAGAGTCCTGTCAGCTGCAGAAATACTCACATGATTCTGCAGCTGCCAGCTGTGTCAGTGATGGATAGCAGGAGTGCAGGGAACTGGTGGATGGCTTTGTAAAAAGGTAAATGGTCTGAAATTATAGGGCACTTTATCAAGTCCATCCAGACACTCACCAAGGGTGAGCACAGTTCCCCTAAAGCACTAAGAGGGGAACTAATTTCCTGATTAAGTGTTTTAGGGCTTTTGCTAGTTTTAAACTTCATTAGTGGATTAGCACTTGCTAAATGTATAGGCTAAATTAACTGGTCTATAAAAGTTACTGATCAACGTTAATGTTAACAGCTGACGGTGAAAGCTGTCAAACATTTTGTTCATATGTGTGTCACTTATCCACCAGGTGACAATATATAAATATATGAACTTGAATACGGCTGTGAAATGTCAATGATAAATATTAAGTGAGCAACATGGCGATATGTGACTCATGTCTGTTGAAGAATGTTCATGGGTTTACTGGGTTATTTTAATGCTTTAGAATTAGTTTTTGCTTAAACTTTCAGTGTATTAGTGCTTTAGAAATAAAGAATCTAAATATCTGAGTTAGTGTTTTGGGGCTAGTGGAACTGATTTTTAGATTAGTGCTGCCACTAAAGGTACTGTATAGTAGATTAATTTTTGAGGAAGTTTAGCTTATTTGCAGCAAGCATTTTCTGCTGGAAAGGATGCACATGTTCCTTAAAATAATAGACATTATAACCTACTGACCCTCAACACAAAAAGTCCCTATTCATAAATTAATGATTTAAATATATATATA